CATGGCGGCACGGGCAAGTACCCCACAGCAAACGAAACGCTGAGAACGCCGGGAGAGAACCCGGATGAGGGGGCTACTGTTGTGCGCGAAGCACGATGGGAACAGCAAGGCCTGTATAAAGGGATCAGGACACCGGTTCGAGAACGGTAGGCAGTACGCAGGTCACGCCCGGAGGAGATCCCGGATGTGAAGTCCAATAGGATGGTACAAAGACGAATTTGTCGTAGCCTTTTCTCCAAGTCCAGCCAAGCTTATTGCTACCTTGTTCCGGGATTCAGCTTCAAAGGAAACACAACCAAAACAAGTACCTCTTCGCCCCGCCCCTTCACAGGTTCTTGAACTACCGGGTGGGGCCGCCCAGGCCGTGCGCAGGCGTAACAGAACACAGCCCTGCCTCTTGTTCGGAAGTACGTGGGCAAAAAATTGTCGCGGCGGTGACAATTGCGAATACCAACCAATTGAAGAACCTGCGTAAAGCCTTGACAACACCCAAGAACCAATCAGGGATAAGCGCTCGCTCTCTCGTGTCCTCCCTCTCAAATTTCAAAGTCTGCAGCCGTGTTCCCAGCAGAAAAACTTTGGTTCCGTCCTGTTCCTTTCTTTCCCCAAGGTTCCAGCCCGCACGTATCCGTACTTTGAAGAAACAGAGTGGTTGGCCTCACGAACACAACAAGTCGTCTCCTCAAGGATTCCATCTGGAACTCAGTCAGACTCACAGGAAAACATCAACATTCCCAGAGCGTATCATCCTGTGAGGCGTCGTCACTTCCGGTTCCACCAATCAGCAAGCCCGAAAAGGCGGACCCTGCTTCACCCTGGCAACAAACGTAATCTTGACGTGATTGGCTTAACAATGCAGTCCGTCACCTCAGAAGGGCCAACCGCTAGACAGAACTGCAACATTTGCCTACTTGTTTGGCGGAAAGACACGCCTATTCTGTCACCTCCGCCCTCTTACCCTCACGTTGACCTCCTCAAGCCTATAGCTATTGCGCAGGCGCAGTACAGCCTTTCTCGCCACCTCCACAACCGCCGCCCCCATCCCTTAATTTACTCAGGAAAGAAAATGTTTACGAACCAACACTGTCAGTACCTAGCGTCTTCCAGTAGTGTTGGCAAAAGCTCTTGTAGACCAGGCTAGTCTGGAACTCACAGAGATCCACCTGCCTCTGCCTCCCTAGTGCTAGGATCTAATTTCTGTGTGTTAGAAATTAATGCCAAGTCGGGCAGTAGTGGCGCACGCCTTTAATCCAAGCGCTCAGGAGGCAGAGGCAGGTGGATCTCTTGAGTTCGAGGCCAGCCTGGTCTACAAGAGCTAGTGCCAGAACAGCTAGAGATACACAGAGAAACCCTGTCTCAAAAGAAATGGGGTTATCATTGCTCTGGAGGCTAAGGCAGGACAATCAAGAGCTCAAAGCCAGGGTCTGGAGAGACAGCTCGGTGGTTAACAGCATTTGCTCTTCCAGAGGACCCAGGTTCACTTTCTAGCACCCACGTGGTGGTTCACAACTATCTGTATCTCTGGTCCCAAGGATATGACAAACTCTTTTGGCCTCATCCAGCTCTAGGCATGCTTGTAATGAAAATACATACATGTAGACAAAACCCTGTACATATAGAATAATTTTAAAGAGAGTTCAAGGCTAGCCAGGACTACATGTTGACTCTGTCTCCAACAAAAAATATTTTGGGGGCCTGGAGTTGGTGGTGCACACCTTTAATCCCAGCACTCGGGAGGCAGAGGCAGATGGATCTCTGTGACTTCGAGACCAGCCTGGTCTACAACAGCTAGTTCCAAGACAGTCTCCAAAGCCACAGAGAAACCCTGTCTCGAAAAACAAACAACAAAAAAAGATATTTGGGGGGAAACAGAAAGACCACCTAACCTCCTCGCTTCAGATGCTAACCTTAACAGAAGCTTTTTCCTGAAAGGCATCAGTAACACATGGATACATATGGGTCCTACTGATATTTTATGTTCCTGAGACTTCCCAGGAGGAGACAACTAAGTATCTGCTGGGACTTCTGTGTTCAAGGATTTCTGCCACATGCTGGAAAACATTATACTGACTCCTCTTCAGACCCATATATCCCATTCCCTATAGGATATCTGCTTAGCACTACCCACCTAACTAAACTCATAGTATTCATGACTAGCCTTCACCCAGTACTTAACTATGTAGTAATAGCTTTCATATTTCCTTTAACAGCAAAAAAACACCCCAATCCCATCATTGCCTAAACCAGAAACCCAAGAGCCAAACTGGACAGCTTCCTCTTCTCCAATTCCCACTTGCCTGTCAATCCCAAGTCTTGTTCATTCTATCTCTGGAATTTCATGACTTTCCAATTCTACTGCTATCACTCTAGGCAAGTCAGCATCTCCTACCATATGTACTACCACACACACACACACACACACACACACACACACACACACACACACTTGACTGATGCTCCTGTACCCAAGACTTTCTCTCCATAACTTAGGCCCCATAGCCAAAATTCTTCTTCTGAAATGCAAACTTAATGACTTGCCTGTTTCTGAGTCTTCAGTAGTCCCCTTACTTATACAAGGCCTTTTGCAACCTGTTCTACTTCCCTCCCTTCAGCTTTACACTCTCATTCCCAGCTAAACCGAACTACTTTCAGTTCCCCAAAGGCCTTGAGCTCACTCTCTAACCTCCAGATCATTGTACACACTGTGCCCTCCACCCACATTTTCAGTCTTACATCTCTTGCCTAACTCCATCTCCTTGTATACATTACCACTCCATGCATGCTAGCCAGTTTAGGTTTCCTTGCCATCCATATGTTTCTATAATTCATCATTCTTAGTTCTATCACCTTGTATTGCAATTGCTTATCTGCCTTCCATGTTCAACTCTGTACATGAGATATAATAATGCCATTTTGCCCATCATTGTAATTTAGTGCTAGTACATGGGCAGTTACATATTTGATGAATAGAAAATTATTGGCCTGGTGGTGGTGGCGCATGCCTTTAATCCCAGCACTCGGGAGGCAGAGGCAGGTGGATCTCTGTGAGTTTGAGACCAGCCTGGTCTACAAGAGCTAGTTCCAGGACAACCTCCAAAGCCATAGAGAAACCCTGTCTGAAAAAAAAAAAACAAAAAGAAAAAGAAAAAAATTGTCTATTTCAAATTAGCAACCTGACACAAAAAAGGTGATTCTCTCACCCAAGGACTGAAACATGTCAATGTGAATTCAAGATTTGTCTTCTCAGTGTTCTACAGAGCTCAGTCACATACTAGTCTGGTGTAGCCAGCATTCAGAAGTGAACATAGTGGATATCCATGATGAAGGGGGATATACCAAACTCAGAAACAATCTTATTCTGCTTACATTTGTAGGGTTTTGCTATCAGGAAACATGAGCTTAAGTTACCCCTTTAAGTGAGTACATGTTGCTCTGGATCTTGATTTTCCCAACTGTGAATGAAGGACCTGGAAAAGATTCAGATCCATGGTATACTGCTAGGCATGGTGGTATGTGCCTTTAATCTCAGTACTCGTGAGGCAGAGACAGGCCAGCCTGGTCTACAGAGCAAGTTCCAGGGCAGCCAGAACTAGACAGAGGAGCTCAAGGGAAAAAATCCCAAGGTACATCAGTCTTAGTACCTTCTGGCCTGCTTCACTGCCGACAGAAACCAACACTTCAAACCACCCTCTTTCAGTTCTCCAGAATGCATCACTAGCTCAACTTCCAGAATGCATCACTAGCATCCACCTCCCATACCCCACACCTCTGCCCAGCCCCTTCACTGTTGAAAGTAATTGAGACCAGAGTGTCCCTAACCCCTCAGTTGAGCCCAGCCCCCAAAGGCAACCACAGAGTCAGCAGATGCTCAGTCCACATCTCTCCTCTTAAGTTTTATTGACCGATGAAAACTTCATCTTTGTCAGCTGCCAGCTTCAGAGGGACAGAGCTGGGAGACAGGGAACCTGAGATGATGTGAAATTTCAGTCTGAGAACACAGATCCAGAAGGTGACCCAAGACAGAGGAGAAGACTATGTGGAAATTACAGAGGAGAAGGGGGTAATTGAGAAGTCTCATCTGTCCCTCCCAGGGTTCAGGAACAACCCAGGCCTCTGCCTAAGCACTTCTGGGTTCGCCCAACACTACAGAATCAGCCCATGATCTCAAAACCCAGCCCAGCTCTAGCTGGGTGCCAGTCTCTTATCTCAGCAGGTCCAGACTCCAGACCAACCCAAGGAAAAAAAAACACCAGAGAAGAGAGTAGTTAGATGTGGCCCATCTGATCAGGGCAGATGTATATGCTGCAGCAAATTGGCCTGAGGCTTTGCATATTATTATCGCAGCAGCTGCTATTGCTAGAGTTTGCTGGAAGCCCAGCGGAGGACAGGTGGCAGGAACTCATTTCCAGCAGCCAGGGAAGGGGACAGTAATGTTTGTGCTATCTCTGTGTTAGGAGAAGCAGCCTGACCCCTCAGACAAAGCTTGGGGTTAGTGGGTCACTACAGAGACCACAGCCCGTTAAGCCAGCCCACAGATGCATTCCAAGCTTCCATATCTGGGAATTGCTGGGCCTGGTGAAGGGCAAAGACTTCACCCCCTAGAGGCTAAATTAGAGTTGAGGGTTCTCGTTCTATGAACCCTCGAACTTGCACAGCACAAAGAGAAGAGGAACTCTTAACTCTTCTTGTCAGGCCAGACCTCAAATGTCAGACTACAGAAAGCTCTAACCTGCCTCTGAGGGCCCAAGGGAGAAGCATGCAAGAGGCCAGCTAGCAGAGAGAGGCCAGTCCCAGCATGCTGGAGTGAGAGGCCAGGGGCCTATGGAGTTCCAGTGCTTCAGCTCCCATTAGGAAAACTGTCCGGGACTGAGGGAAGTTTCCCATTCCCTAGCTAATTCCCCATCAGATGGGCCATTCCATGAAACTCCATTGCATAGTTCTTGGCAGGGAGCATAAGAGGTCCCCAGGTCTGCCCCTCTTTGCCTCTCCCAAATATGGCTTTGGAAAGGAGTTCCCAAGAGTAAAGAAGGCCCTCTGAATGGGCAGACCCATCCCTCACAGGGAAGAGATCTTCACAGTCTCAGGAAGGAGGCAGGGGGTACCCAAGCTGGAGTTCCTGAGGGTGGTGTTACTTCTACCACCACTGCCACCACCACCAGGGGAGGATGGCTGACTCTCATCTGGAGTGTTGACAGGAGGGGTGGGGATACTGATGATGGCAGCCACGAAGTCCGGGCTATCACAGTTCAGGTCAAGGCTGTCATGAGGCTTGGCATTGAGGCTTGAGCGGCTGTGAACAGGGGTGGGAAAGATGGAATACTCTTAAAAACTCATCTTGATAATTGTCATACCAATCATCACATTAATTAGCACATACTGGGTCCATTGCACTGAGGTACAAATTCTCCCTGCATTCTCAATGATGGTAAAGGAGGTGCATTCAGGAGTCACCTGGTCTTAAGTTCAAATCACAATCACATTTTACCACATTGGAAACCTCTTTTAATTGTAGCATGGGAATATTCCTTACCTCATTGGGTTGTGTGTGTGTTTTTTTTGTTTGTTTGTTTGGTTGGTTGGTTTTGGTTTTTCGAGACAGGGTTTCTCTGTGTAGCTTTGGAGCCTATCCTGGCACTCGCTCTGGAGACCAGTCTGGCCTCGAACTCACAGAGATCCACCTGCCTCTGCCTCCCAAGTGCTGGGATTAAAGACGTGCACCACCAACACCCGGCTACCTCATTGGGTTGTTATAGAGACCAAATGAAATGACAAATGATACAAAGTGCACATATATAGCGTATACACACTTTTTTGTGATGCTGGGGAATAAATCCAGAGCCTTGCCATGTTTGTCATGTACCACATGCATGTCTGGTGCCCAAGGAGGCCAGTACAATGCATCAAATCACCTGAAACCAGAGTTATAGGTGCTTGTGAGCCACCATGTGGGTGATAGGAATTGAACCCAGATTCTCTGCAAGAGCAATAAGTACTCTTAAGCAGAGCCATCTCCCTAGTCCCTCTCTTGTTACCCTTCACAAAGCCAAAACTATTGCAAGAATCCATAATAGGAACAGGTAGTGGTGGCATGCACCAGTAATTCTGGTACTCAAGAGGCTAAGGCAGGCAGACCCTGAGTTTGAGGCTAGCTTAGGCTACATACATAGTAAGACCCTACTTCAAAGCCAAACAAAACAAAAAGTTTAAAAGTCTACACTAGGATTTATAAAATTGAGTCCTCATTTCTTTCTTATTCTGTCCTTCTTGTCTATCCCCACTTCCTAGGTTCCTAGGTTCCATTCCCAGTACTAAAAAGATAATTTTTAACTTATTTTTTTGAGACCAGTCTCACTACATAGCCCTGGCTAGCCTGGAACTCACTATGTAGACTAGGCTGGCCTTGAAATCACAGAGATCGGGTTACATCTGCCTCCTATGTGCTGAGACTAAAATAATGTGCCACCATACCCAATCTGAAAAAAAAATCTAAAGAAAAGAGGCTAGATGCTGTGGAACAATCTTTGTATACTGTGAATATTTGTTGCTCTCATTGGTCTAATAAAGGACTGACTGGCCAATAGCTAGGCAAAAAGAGGTTAGGTGGGAAAGCCAAATTGAGAGGAAGCTAGGGAGAAGGACAGAGTCTGGAGAATTGGGAGGAGACTCAGAGAGAAGCAAAATGAACATGTCTGCTGGAAAAAAAAGGAACCACCATGTGACAGACTGTAGATAAGAAATATGGGTTATCGAGACCAGCCTGATCTACAGAGTAAGTTCCAGGACAGCCTCCAAAGCCACAGAGAAACCCTGTCTGGAAAAACCAAAGGGGAAAAAAGAAATATGGGTTATTTAGGTTGTAAGAGCTAGTTAGTAACGAGCCTAAGCTATCAGCCGAGCATTTATAATTAATGATAAGTCTCTGTGTGGCTACTTGGAGCCGGCTGGCAGGACAGAGCTGACCTGTGATCCCAATGAAAAACTCTGCCTCCAGCTAGAGAGATGGCTCAGTGGTTGAGTACTGCTCTTCCAGAGTACCTGAGTTTGGTTCCTAGTACCCACATCACAACTCTAGCCCCTGGGGATCTAAAGACTAGGGCTTTCACAGGCATGCACCTACAATGACATGCACATACCCACACACAGGTACACAATTAAGAATAAATCTAAAAATAACCCTTGTATCACCCTCTTCTCAGTAATCTCTGGCCACTGTTCCTGATTTTGTTTTCATCTTGCTACTTACAAATGTTTGAGCCAGTATATAGTTTGTATACTTGTTTGTTAAGTGTCTTTTTCTATTAGAATGTAAGCTTTGCTGGGCGGTGGTGGTGCATGCCTTTAATCCCAGCACTCGGGAGGCAGAGGCAGGTGGACCTCTGTGAGTTCGAGACCAGCCTGGTCTACAAGAGCTAGTTCCAGGACAGCCTCCAAAGCCACAGAGAAACCCTGTCTCAAAAATCCAAAAAAAAAAAAAAAGATAGAATGTAGGCTTCAAGACACAAAGATCCACCCTCAAACCTGTGTGTGTGTGTGTGTGTGGGTGTGTGTGTGTGTGTGTGTGTGTGTGTGTGTGTGTGTACTGGATGGAACCTAAGGCCTCCTTCATACTAGGCAAATGTTTATCATTGAGTGACATCCCCAGCTCAAGTGAGCCTCTTCCCTTAGCTTCCTGAATGGCTAGGGCCATACTGCTACTCAGTAAATATTTGAAAAAATGAATGAAGAGCAGAGTGCAGTAATGTATGAGTTCTAGAACTTGATGGCTGAAGCAGAATTATCATGAGGTCAACTTGGTCTATAAACAAAGCAAGACCCTGTCTTAAAATTTTGAAAAATGAGCCAGGTGGTGGTGACGCATGCCTTTAATCCCAGTGCTCTGGAGGCAGAGGCAGCTGGATGTCTGTGAGTTAGAAGCCACCCTGGTCTACAAGAGTTAGTTCCAGGATAGCCAGGGTCACACAGAGAAAACCTGTCTTGAAAAACCAAAAATAAGGGGCTGGAGAGATGGCTCAGAGGTTAAGAGCACTGCCTGCTCTTCCAGAGGTCCTCAGTTCAATTCCCAGCAACCACATGGTGGCTCACAACCATCTGTAATAAGATCTTGTACCCTCTTCTGGCCTGCAGGCATAAATGCAGACAGAACACTACATACATAATAAATGATTATATCTTTAAAAAAAGTAAAACCAAAAATAAAAAAGAATTTTTTTTTTGAAAAATGAGGAGTTTCGAAGACAAAATAAAGGTCCTTCCACAAAGGAATTTGGGTTTGGGCTTGACTTACTAGGCCTACAGTCATGAAATTTTAAGCCCATCGTCTAAATCCTGCACTTTCTAATTGTGGTTATACAGGTGAGCCATGTACTTACCTCTGAGGGGCAGGGCTCCTCCGAAGCCCTGCTAGGGTGTCTAGCTCCTGCATGCTGCCACGGCTGACAGAGGCAGTGGAGTTGGCAAGGCGGATGGCTCGGCGCTTGGCCCTTCTAGGGCAGCAAGATGATAACAGGCTGCCAGGCCCCATTGGCTGGGAAGACACTGAGGTACTACGGCTGGTGCGACCACCCAGTGAGACAGCTCCAAGGGCCTCACTGAAGGTTAGCTCATCTGTGAACTCATGGCACTGTGGGCAGAAGGAAAGCATGATCACAGGGTACCCCATGTCATGGATGCTGATACAACTCTCCGACCTTTGCTTAAACAAAGTCACTTTGCCTTCTCTTTCCTTGCCCATCCTAGAAGCCTCTTTTTATTGAGACAAGGTGCAGCCTATGTAGCCTTGGCTAGCCTGCAATACACTATGTGGATCAGGCTGGCCTGGAACTCATTGAGATCACCTGCCTCTGCCACAAGATTCAGCCTCTTAAAGGAAGCACCATGCAATCTTTACAATTCAGTGGTAAGGCTTCCACCTCAGTGAGGGAATCAGCTTGGTGTTCAGAAAGACTTCCTCCCTCCCACCATGTAGCATCTTGTTTGGCCTCACCGTAGTCTTCTCTAGACAGTGAAGCAAATGGTGATGCTGCTGTTCAAAAGCAGAACGGCTCCTAACACACAGCGCCTGTCCCTCACCACTTCCACTGTCCTGGAACAGATGGAGCAGAAACAGGCAGTGAGCACCTTCCCCTCTTATCCTTGCTCACCTCTAACCCCCGAGAAATGTGCCTCCCCACCTCAAGGCCCCCATTTTGCTTATACTGCAGGAAGGCATTGGTGGTACCGCTCTTTGCCAACCGGATTCTTGCCAGGCGCACCTTCTGCAGAGATGAGACAAAACGTTAGACAGGTGAGGCCAGGAGCAGACAGGTTTAGGGTAGAAGGAATGGCAGTGTTCAGAAGGGAGGCATAGTTACCTGCTGTGCTCGGCGCTTGTCAGCACGCTGGTTCTGGTGGTAGATGCGGCTAAAGTTGGACACAATGACTGGCACAGGCAAGGCAATAACCAAGACACCACTAAGTGAGCAAATGGACCCAAAAATTTTGCCAGCAATGGTGCTAGGCACCATGTCTCCATACCTGTGAAAGACAGAAGCAAGCCAAAGTTGAAGAGGTGTGCAGCCACCCCCACCCCCAATTCCACTCCTGAAGTGCTCTGTAAACTTGGCCAAGCACATGGACTCTGAGCTTCCGTTTCTTCCTTTTAAAGTTTTTTGCTGTTCTGTGTTTGTTTTTTGACACAGGGTTTCTCTGTGTAGTCCTGGTGGTCCTGGAACTCACTGTGTAGACCTGGCTAACCTTTAACTAGAGTTACAGATACTTGTGAGCTACCATGTGGGAGTGCTGTGAATGGAATCCAGGTCCTCGGAAAAGGTGTTCTTAACTACCAAGCCATTTCTCTAGCCCCAGCTTCTGTTTCTTACACTGAAAAATTTGGAGAATGAAGGTAGAGAAATGACTTAGTGGTTAGGAATTCCAGAGGAACTAAGTTCAGCACCCATGTCTATCAGCTCACAACTATCAGTAACTCCAGCACCAGAGGATCCAAGGCCCTCTTCTGAACTCCGTGGAAACCTGAACTCACATGCACATACCCACACACAAACACATATGCTATGCATAATTAAAAATAGTAAAAAAACAAAACAAAACAATAAATCTTCAAAATGTGAAGGATGGCCAGGCATGGTGGCACATGCCTTTAATCCCAGCACTCCAGAGGTAGAGGCAGACAAAACAATTCAAAATGTGAAGAATGACCTCTCTGGGCCCTAGCAGTAGAGGTCAAATGAAAAATGAGGCTGCCTTCAGTTTCTACCATCTGCTGCCCCATCTAAGCTATGCACTGGGCATCATTGTCATCTGGATATCTACTAACACCAAACAGAAGGGAAAACAAGGAATAAATACAGGATCCTGGCAGCTAGAGAAATGGCTTAGCGGTTACAGTTCAAATGAGAGGCTCTATAGCCCAGAAGTAGTATTCTGGTTTTGCTTGCTTCTCTGTATTCTTTAGGAAGGACCCCTTCGAATATCCCTCAGAAGAAGCCTGGAAAATGTCCTCACATGAAAGATAGGGAGCCTCAAAACTACCCTGCCTTCCTCCAAGCCACCCACTCCCATGGAGCTAGAGCAGAACCAACTACTGGCTTGTTTCTCAAAGGACGAAAACAGCTCAGAGAGATGCCATAGTTGATTTGCCCAGGAGTACACGGCACACTTCTTTTTTTCTAACCACAAGAAAGCCTTTGAGAAATTCAGCCTCAGCCATCTTCAGCTTCTAGGCTTTTGCTTGGGCTGCACCCTAAGTTGGCTCTTCCTTATCCCTTTGAGTTGCAGTGTTGTTGCTGTTATTGGTTTTGGTTTGCTGAGACAGGGTCTCATGCATCCCAGGCAGATCTCAAACTTACTATGTATCTGAGGATGACCTGGAGCTTCTGATCTCTTGCTTCTGCCTCCCACTATGTACTGAGATTATAGGCACCTGTAACCCTGCTCAATTTATGCAGTGCTGGAGGGTGAACCCAGAGCTTTACAGGTGCCAGGCAGGCACTCTATGACTTGAGCTACATCTCCAGATCTTTTCATTTGTTCTAAGCATTCAGGACCCTACTCCAGAGTCTCTATAAGTTGGCCATTTCTAACTATGTGATAGTCATCTCAGACTATGTCTCACTTACGAGGCATGAGAACCTACTGTCATAGTTGTTCTGAGGACTGCATATGGCATAAGGCATCAAGAGACCTACTTCCAGCCGGGCAGTGATGGTGCACACCTTTAATCCCAGCACTCGGGAGGCAGAGGCAGGAGGATCTCTGTGAGTTCGAGGCCAGTCTGGTCTACAGAGGTAGTTCCAGGTCAGGCTCCAAAGCCACAGAGAAACCCTGTCTGGATAAAACAAACAAAAACAAAACAAAACCACAGAAATACACTGAGCTGAAATCTGGAACCTAGTTGAAGAGAGGGAGGAATGAAGAACGAAGGGGTCTGTACCAGGTTGGAGAAACCCACATAAACAGTTGGCCTGAAAAAGGGAAAGCCTGTCGACCCCAGATGCTCTTTGGGAGGCCAGTATGGGACTAATCCAGCCCCCTGATCATGGATGCCATCGGGGAGGCCCCTGCACTCCTGGGAGCCTCTGGAGGTGGACTGGCTTTTTGCCCTGGTGTATGTGGGGGACTTCGAGAGCCCATCCCACTTGAAGGGATGCACTCTGTCTCTGAACACATGGGGAGGGACCCAGGCCCAGCACAGGAAGATTTGGTGG